CTATGCCGCCCAATCCCGAAGGACTCCGGGCGGCTTACAGAAATAAAAAAAAAATTACAAGAACTTAAAAACAATAAGATCTCACAGGATGGGGCTTCTCCGGGTGCCTTCAGCGGGACAATGCTGGCTGGCGGCACCTAGGAGTAGGGCCTTCTCTGTTGCCGTTCCAGCCCTGTGGAATGAGCTGCCCCCAGAGATCTGGGCCCTCCCCACTCTCATGGCCTTTCGCAAAGCCATTAAAACCTGGGTTTTCTGGCAGGCCTTCTGACTGGGTGTTTGTTGCGTCCCTTTTTTAACTTTGTGTGTCCTATTGTTTTTAAGTTCTTTTAATTTCTTTTTTATTTCTGTAAGCCGCCCGGAGTCCTTCAGGATTGGGCGGCATAGAAATTTAATAAATTCAATTCGATTAATATAATGAGAGCCATTCCTATAACAACAACCTATTTCATTGGCAAAACCCACAATCAAAGTTTCATTTTTTCCACCTCAAGCACAAAGTCCAAAAGTGGTTTCCAAACAGAAACAAAATTGTGTCCTTTAACAGGAGCAGTCAATTTTGCCACCTCTGCAAACTCTATCAAGCTAAACTGCATAATCCACACTTACCTTATCTCGGCTGTCTCCAGGCGCCCCAGCACTGCGCACACCACACTGTGAGCCCCTGAGAGGGGAACTATTTGGAGAACTGGAAGCTGGAAAAGAGAGCAGCAGGATCAACAGCCCTTCCCTTCTGGGCCAGACCTCTCCCTCTTCTGCGGGCATGTACCCATATTTTTCGCTGTATAAGACGCACCTTTTTCCCTCAAAAAAGAAGCTGAAAATGTGGGTGCGTCTTATACACTGAATACAGCATTTTTGGCCTCCCAAAACCCAGCCCCCTTTGCAAAAATGGCCATGCGTAGCCTTTAGGAGGCTTTCAGAGAGTTCCTGGGGGCCGGAGGGAGGGGGAATGAGCGAAAAACAGACCCGTTTTTGGGAGGTCTGCAGAATGCAAAAACTTTTTTTTAAATTTGCCTCTTCAAAATCTTGATGCGTCTTATACTCCCCAAAATATGGTAATTTATATATATATATATATGTGTGTGTGTGTGTGTATATATACATACATACATACATACATACATATATATATACACACAATTACCGTATTTCTGGAGTATGCACACACATACATACACGCACATATACATAGAATAATACAAACTTAGTTTATACCTTTATAGCATCAGACACTTTATAAAAACACAAAGAAAGGCTGCATTATTGTATATGATATTTTATGTTGTGCATATTATATTGTCGGGACATCTATTCTTCTAAAGCTTACAGCTTTTCCCTGTCATAAAAAGAAACCATTCAGAGCCCTGGAGACATTAAAGGGCCACGTAGCCAAGCGACACCCACAATTTTGCTAATCGGGAGTCAGTGCTGAATCTTTCACCAGGCTTCCGGCCGAAATGACTGCGGCTGGAGGGGTGGTGGGAGAGACAGGGACGTCCCCCAGCAGCAGCCCCAGGGCGGCATTGTGCTCCCCAGCAGCGGCCTCGCTTACCTTTGTAAAGTGCCAGGTGTGCACCATCCCCCACTGGCCAAGGTCCAGAGGTCTCCAGAGAGAAATGGACGTTTCCTCAGCTGTCACAATGCACAATTCTGCGAAGTCGGCTGCTTCCCACCACACAGCGCTCATGTCCACCAAGCAGGATCCGGAGCCGTTCTGAGGGGCAGCGGGGGGAGGCAGGATGATTCGGAGGAGCTGAGGTCAGCAAGAGCCAACCGCACAGAGAGCCAGAGCTCCCTGCGTGGCACAGCCCAGGCAGGCCCACCCGCACAATCCCAAGGGCCCTGCCTCACCAGAGGGACCCAACCAGTGGTGGATTCCAGATCCCGTTCTAACTGGTACACATGGACGCGCATGGCGTGCATGCGTCATACCTGCCTGCGACGCCTCTGCGATGCTCCAGCTGCTCGGCGGAGCATCGTGCAGGTGCTGTATGCGCCGTGTGCGTAGGCGCCAAAGGCTTAAATGACAGGTAAGGAGCGCGGGTGGGCAGGTGGGCCCTCCGGAGCACAGTACTGGAACGGTAGCCGGTACTCTGGGCAGGCTCTGGTACTCCCTTAGCGGGGCATACCGCCTGCAACCCACCACTGGACCCAACCCGCTTGGACTTCTTGCTCTGGCCTGCGACCGATGGCTTCCTTGGCCTTGTGCAGGATGGGCTTTGAAGGCAGCCATGAAAATGCTTTTGTGGCCTGTCTTTCATGAGACATTGCATGGAATCCTCACCTTATGATCGGTCACTCAGAGACTGACGGAAGTTACAATAGACCCCACAAAAGGCACTGATGTCCCAGATTCAAAGTTCCAAAAGAAGCCCCCTCCCCAGTCATGTGACCACACTTTGGACACTTGGACCATGTCCTGCATTTACGCCCATTTGCAGCATCCCAGTCACACAACCACAATTGGACTCTCCCCCCTCTTTGCTGGGAACGGCTGTAGACTTCTGATTTCTGCCAAAATGCACCCATGGCAGGCAGTGGATTCGCTTAACGATCACAGAATTGGCTCTCAATGACTGCTGGGCTCATTTTGCTTAACAACCATTGCAAAAACTGTCATAAAATAGGGTTGGTTGCATCAACTTCTGACCGTCATGCCATCTGATGGAAATTCCATTTTGGCCATAAGTCAAACCATAACCTTTATGACATTTTGTTTTTATCCCACCCAGGAGGGGAGAAGGATGTAAAGGAATGCAATAAATAAGCCAATGATTATTAGTTGGCAGACAGGCTTCCGTAGGTCTCTGCACCTAGAAGCCATTGGGCCCCATGGTCACTGCAGGGCCCGGGCATCTCCAGGCTTGCCTGAAGACAAAACAAGCGTCTTCTGTCCCCCACATCCCTTCCCCTTCAGGAGGGAACCTGACCAGCAAAAGCCACAAGAACTGCAGTCCATGCACCCCACCCCACCTCCGTTTCCTTCTGCGCCTGCTCCAGGGCAATTCCGTCACGGAACCCAGGAAGGGCTGGGCTGCTGCTGGAAAGAGCCCCACTCTGCCAAACGCCTGCTCAGTTGCAGTGCCAGCCCAGTCAAAGGCAGAGCGACCCAGGTCTGTGGCTGTCCCTGCAGGTGAAGCCCAGTCCTGGCCTGGAGGCTCTGTCTGCTTCCAGAGGAAAGAGCTTCCCCCAGGGCAGGATGGGTGCCACAGGCACTCCGTTATCAGAGCAACCCTGGGTGTCACATGATACAAAAATGCCTTTAACTGTTTTTCTCCTTTAACCTTCAGCTTTGAAGTCATTTTCAGGTTGCCTTCTCTCGCAGTGGCTGCTGGTGCCTCCCCCTGGAGCTCTTCTGCTGGGCCGCTCTGGGGAGACAAAGGGCAAGAAATGACGCCCTACCCAGATCACACTCCCCTGGGGCCCTCTGGAACACGGCTCCCTCCACACCCCAGAAAGAGCAGGGGAGGGCCTGTCCTGCAGGGGACACCAGGCTCCATCGCCGGAGGGGGGGGGGGTCTTCATTTGGGATTGACCAGGGGTGGGTTCCAGCTGCTGCTACTGCTGGTTCGCTCAGGGATGTGCCTTGCGCGCTTCATGCACGCTACGCATCAAGCACTCAAGGCACATCCCTGAATACTAAAAAAGGTAGGGTGCCAAGAGAGCCAGTTTGGGGGGGTGAGTGGCAGGGCTGGGTTCCTGCCAGTTCCAGCGACCTATTCGGCCGAACCAGTAGGAACTCACCTCTGGGACTGATGGAAAAAAGGGTGGCAGGCAGGAAAGTTCACCAACGGAACTCAACTCCTCAGAAAGGCAAGACGGTGGTCCAGAATGCGCAAGGCTTTGAGCTGCAGCCGCCAGCTACCCTAAAACAGGCTTTGCCCAGAGAAGCCAGGCTGCTTCCCTTGTCAGGCCTGCAGTCATGTTCCTTCCAGGATCTTTGGCCTGCCACTCCCTTTCCTTTTGCTATGCTGTTTCATCAGTGGGATAATTGGGAGGGGGAATAGTGAGGAGTAGAATGTGTTTGTCAAAATAAAACATTCCTTTCCAGAAGCCCAACAGCCATGTCAAACTGTTCAGCGAGGGTCGAGGAGGAGTTCTAAAACACCAGCCGGTGATTCAGCTGCCCCAAGAAGTCAGTTTGTTGGATAAAAGGGCAGCCAATAAAGTCAGGGCGGGGGGCGGGCACTGACCATGACAAGCAGGGAGTCTGACGCCCAGAAGGAGAGTAAAATCTACAGAGCAAAATGACCAGCCAAGCGCCGTTGAGAGAAAGGAAAAACTGAGGCCAGAAGGGAGAGAAACAGAACAGGAATGACCTTCTGTAAGGAGGGGGGGGCAGCCAAGGAGGGTGCAAGGAGACATGCTTCACAACAGGGGGTCTCCAACCGTGGCCACTTTAAGACTTGTGGACTCCCAGAATTCTCCAGCCAGCCATGATGGAATTCTGGGAGTTGAAGTCCACAAGTCTTAAAGTGGCCAAGTTTGGAGACAGACCTCTGCTTGATAGCATCAGATATTTTATAAAAACACAAAGTAATGCAGCATTATTGCATGCAATAGTTTATAATATAAAACATCTATCTATCTATTTATAGATAGATGTCCTAAAATCATGATTTAAAAATACTGGTAGTTAGAATATTGGTAGTTAGCAAGCGACTATAATGACTATAAACCAGGGGTCTCCAACCTGGGCAATTTTTAAGACTTGTGGACTTCAACTCCCAGAGTACCTTAACCAACAAAGCTGTGGAACTCTGGGAGTTGAAGTCCACAAGTCTTAAAGTTGCCCAGGTTGGAGACCCCTGCTCCAGAGCATATAAAGACCTTCATTTCATCTGTGGCATCTCCAGGCCCTCTTTGCATCCCCCAAGGTGGTTGTCTCACCTCAGCTACCTGGGCCTCCCACATGCACCCCCTTTACCTGCCTGGGGGGCTCCTTGTCCCGCTCCTGTGGCTCCTCTGATGGGCCGGTGGCTTCTTCCCCCACCTTCCTGTCAATTCCAGCTGGGTCCGGCGAGCGAAGCTCCCCTATGTCCCTTCCTGGGTCAGGAGACACAGCCGCAGCTGCTTGCGAAGGAGAGGCCCCAAGGGCGCCTGGGGAGGACTCCAGGAGTGCTGGGGTCGCCCCCACCAGGGGGAAATCAGGGGTCTGCAAAAGGCTCTGCCCACCGTCCAAGGCTGGGGAGAGCAGCAACACACGGGAGGAAAGAGCCGAGGGGGTCCCCCTCATTCTGGACAGGAGGGTTTGTCCCGACGCTGCTCCTTCCTCGAGAGGAGCCCCCCCAGGTGGGCTCAGAGGACCCTCGCTGGATCCCCCAGCATCCCAGATCCCCAGAGGCTTCATGGGACAGACGTTGAGCTTCTTGAACTTCAGGTGGCCGAAATCTTCATCGGGAAGGTGGAACTCTTGGTGAGGAAGGCCGGGGGGCAGCCAGCCGAGGCGGGACACCTCCACACCCGGGGAAAGGAGAGGGAAAGCCGCAGCAGCAGCGGCAGAATTCTCCAACATCCGGAGACCAGGAGAAGCCGGGCCAGGGGAGCCCACTGGTGGGCTGCGTCCTTTGCCTGCACACATGGGAGAAAAACAAAAGAACCTTGCAAGACCCAAACTTCAATTTCTGAGCCCCTCAAAAGAATTGACTTTAAAGGCCACTCCTCGTTCCTCTCCTACAGAGACAGGAGGGCGACCTCTCCCCCAGGCGTCCGAAAACCCTTGGCTCAGAGGCGCTCTGGGTCTTTGAATGACGCCCAAGGTGAGTGGGCTGCACATGCCTTTATTTTCAACTGGCTGCTTTTGATTGCCCCTGCCAATAGGCCCCCTCACCCCACCCGGAGGGAGTCCTGGGAGATGAGGCTCCATTCAGCCTGCCATTCAGCCTGCCTCCGCCCAACCCAGAGTAAGCTCTGCAGGAAGGCCGCCTGGGACGTGCTGTGGGAGGACCCCCTTGTGTCAGGCCTGCAGCCATCTTTTCTTTTGGATCTTTGGCCTGCCACACTTCCTATTGTTCTACTTTGCATTTTCTAGTGTGGGAAAATGGGGGGGGGGAGGTTGTTAGATGCTAGGTAGCCATAACAAAATTATTTCTAGAAAGCCAAGGTCATCCTTTGTCTTTGCACCTCTGCACCTGACTGGAACTGGATGGGTTGAACTGCCAGCATAGCAGTAGGAGACTGAACCATGGGATGGACTTGTGAGTAAGGGGGGGGGGGGGGGGCAAGATCTTGAACTTTCAACTGGGTGGGGAAAACCGGGAAGCTTTCAGATTTGGGTTTTCCCAGATGTGCCAAACTGGAACTTTGAGCAATACTTTGCCTTGGACTCTGATTTACTTTTGGGTGCTATTTGGAACCCCGACACCTTGCCTTACATCTCAGGGAGACCACCGGGGTTTCCAAGGGGAAAAGGGTCTCACCCTGCGGGACCAGCCAGGGGAATCCCTGGTCTGCTCAGGAGCTTCCCCCACCGCCACCTTCTGGGCTTCTCCCACTGCTGGGTAAAGAGCTCAGGCCCCTCCCTGGCTCAGGCTGGCCACTGGCCCCTCCAGCCCCTCCCTGCCTCTGTGCTTGCTGTCCATGGGGGTGGGGGTTGGGCAGCTGCCCCAGGGTGAGCACTGCTGCCTTCTTTCCACGCAAGCCCTTTTCTCTCCCCCTAGGAAATCCTTTTGCAGGATGAACAAATGCTCAGGGGGATGGGGGAAGGGGGAACCGATCCTTCCAGGTTCTCCAACTGACCTGTGCTGAAGGAAGTCCTCTGCTGGGTCCTCCTCCTCCTCCTCCTCAGCCGTCTCCTGCCCTGGCTGCATCTGGACCCGGTGTTCTTTGGCAAGAGAGCTGGGGAGCCAGAGGCGTCCCCTGGCATACTGGGGGTTGAGCTCAGTCGATCGTCACTTTTGGGGGGCTCCTGGGAGGGCTGGGCTGGATTCACCACCTGCTCTTTGTGGGCCACCCTCCAGCCCTTTCTGCCCTTGCCCAGCTGGCTCTGCATGACCGCCTCCAAGTTCACCTCCTCCTGGCGCCTGGAGAGTCTCCGTGTCATGCGCACATAATACTCAAGGGGAAACATGAGTCCCTCAACCACCGTGCAAGAGCTCAGCCCCTCCTTACTGGGGGTAACTCCTTCCACGGGAGGCGACCCCACCCCAAGGCTGGGCCCTCCGTCCTCCACACTTGTCTTCTCGCCGGAGGGGTCTCCGTCATTCAAGTCCTCCTTGAGCCAATCGGGGACAGTCCTGTCTCCTGGAGCAGCGCCAGGGGTCACTGCTGAGTCCGCCAAGCTTCCTGGATCTTCCTTGCCCCACCAGCCAGGCTGCTCCTCCCCCTTCTGCTTGTTCCGCACCCTGGCACATAAGGAAGCCCTGGCAGCAGCCGAGTCCTCCCGTCCAGAAAAGCTCTCTTGGCTCAGGGGCTGAAGGGAAGATCCTCGTCTGGTGTGTGGCAGGAAAGAAGAAAGCTCTGGCATTGCCCCGGGACTGCCAGTTTGCACCAGCATGCCCATTTCAGAGTCTGCATCTGACATTGTAGGAGTAGCGCCGCCCCTTCCTGCTTGGCCAGCCTGCAGGGAGGTCTCGGGCGGGCTCCCCTGGCCAGGGTCAAAGCCTGGGGACTCGGAGCCTCGGTCTGTGTCCCTCTCATGCTGTCCTCCATGCCCCTCCCACGCCCTTCCTCCCCTCTGGCCCAGGGGAAGCCTTCCTCTCTGCTCTCTGGCGGTTCCACTGGTGTAGCTGCAGTTCCTCGCCAGAGGCGGCTCTGTAGAATTAAAGAGCACCCTCCGGCCAGACTGATGGATCCTTCCAGAGCCTAATGTTTCTGGCAAGCTGCCTTCAAAGGGCCTGGATTTAAAGAGGACAGGGGTGGCTTCTGCGGTACTGCCTAGGCAGGACGTTCCAGCCTGACCCTCTTCCAGGGTCTCTGGAGATAGTTGACTGAGGTCTCCTGCAAAGGACAAAGTTCTTGGGGAGCTTCTCTTCCCCTGGGGAGCACAGAGCTCAGCAGAAATGAGCCTCCGTAACCCAGAGCATAAAAGGGAGGGGAGGCTAGAAAAGGAGGGCCTGGCATCCCCAGAGGTGCCAAGCAGGTCTGATCAGAGGGAGTCAACTAGACCCCACTACCTCTGAAGACCCATTGGAGGCCCTCACTCCAATTCCTTCTACAAGGAGCCCAACAGAGGCTGTCTCAGGGTTACCTGCAGGGCTCTTCACAGCTTCCTCCTGCCCAAGCAGCCGGTTTTGCTCTGCAACTGTTTTCTTGATGTGATTTTTAACCTTTGCAGCTCTCTCGGCACGCTGTGGAAACAAAAGAAGGTTGGCAGCCACGTTACTTTTCTTATTAGTCAATATGACATTAGTCAATTTCCGCTGATTTCTGCCCCACAAGCCTTCCCCCAATGAGATTGTCCTTCAGCAGAGAATCCCTTTCATTTACCCACCTGCAGCCTGTGGAATGTTTTGTTGTATTCTCTTTTCAACACGGCCAGTTTTTCTTTCAGCTGGAAGACAAAGCAATTGCTAAATAATTGGCATATTTAACTTGAAAACTAATTGAAAGGACTAGACAGCAACCATGTTTATGGAGATTCTGTCCTCCAGGTCACAGTGGTCCCAAAGGTGCTTTTTCAAGAGGCCACTGGACTTTCTGGCTTTTCTTTGAAGGCGTTTCACATCACCTCCCTCCAAGAAGCTTCTTCGGCTCTGACTGGATGGTGGGGAATGGAAGGATTTATACTCCCTGCAGGCAGCTGGTCATTCGCATCCTTTTGAATGCAAGGAATATAACTCCTTCCATTCCCCACCATCCAGTCAGAGCTGAAGAAGCTTCTTGGAGGTGATGTGAAAAGAAAAACGAAGTCCAGTTGTCTTTATTTAGGTTTGATTTGACAGTGAAGAGCAAGCACATGCGCTCCCAGAAATTTCACATAACCTGATAACTCGTTTCTAGCATTATGAGCTCCACAGACAAGGACAGGATTTTCTGGCTTCCATGCGTTTATACTCAATGTCACCTGGCCCGACTGGAAGGAGCCCCAAAGGCTGGGCTTGGTCTTCAGGGCAGAAAGCCTGAGGACCTGAAGAGGGAGGGCATAGTGGAGCACTGCTTTGTTATTCTCAGATCACTTTTTGGTGGACATGAAATTTAAGAACACCCTAGATCCCTTCAGAGCATGGAGTATGGATCTACTTGACTTTTTTAAGTACCTGGGAATGTTCCCCATGTTCTGACAGACAACTCCACTGTTCTGGACCTCAGAGGTAACAAGAGGGATGGATGGGTGTCCTTAAGCAGCCTTACTCCATATGTGGATCCTGGCTAATTGGCTCCCCTGCTTCTGCCTGGTTCATCAGACATGATTGGCACATTCCTGGTGCCCCCAATTAACTGATGCCCTCTGCCTAGATCCTGCAAGCGTACCTTCTCTGGAGCAGTGCCAACTCTCTAGAATGGGATCCCCCCTCCCCAAAACCTGAACAGGGGATGGGCGTTTTGAAGGGCCTTGGAAAGCCAAGCCTCTCTCTCTCTCTCACTGGTCTTTGGCAAGGACGACTGACACCCCTTAAGTTTTGTTTCCCTCCCGATTTTTCCTTTGACATCATTGTTGTTTTGACTTGTGCTATTTGGGGAGGGTGGGGGGGTGTTATTCTTTGTTTCCAAAAGTTTAACAACTGTAAACTGTCCAGAAGCCCCGGGAGTCATTGGGCATCGAAACAGAATGAATGATTTGCTTATTGTACTCGGAACACTCGGGGGGGGGGTCTGGTGTTTTGGGTGCTGCTTGATGTGCACATATTATTTTTAAATGTCTGGGAATCGTCCAGCATCCGGCCCCACGGATTAAACCGTGGGGCCATTAAATGATGGTCATAGGAGACTGAATAACCAATCGACGTAGGAAACTAAATAAGAGTTTTCGGTTCCCAGCTTAGCAACCTGCTTAATTGCCTGAACTGGGGAAGGTCTCTCCTCCTGCACGGAGCAGATTCCCTCCCCCCGCCAGGGCTTGCAGCAGCCCAAGGAAGAGCAAAGGCTCCCTCTCCTGCAAATGCCTCCCCGGAGAGAGCCCCCTCGCCTCCTTTCCCTGCCCGGGGCAGCTCAGTTCAGCCACCCCGAGCCTTTCCGATATGGCGGGAAGTCCCGCAGGCGGAGGAGGCCGGAGGGTCCCCGGGGGCGCCGCTCACCTGCGCCTTCTGCTGCGGGGTCAGAACCGCCGAGGCAGTAGCCTCCATCCTCGCTCTCCCGGGCGCCTCCGCGGCGCATGCGCGCAACCCTTTCGCGCCAAATAAAAAGAAAGCGCTCCGCAGCCAATGGGAATCCGCGATATTTGGCGGCCGACGGGCGAGCTGCGGCCATTGGCTAGGGAGGGGGGCTACGGAAGCCGGCTAGGCCCGGGGGGCGTTCCCGCAGACGGACCGTGCCGGGCGCCGCCATGGAGCTGGGCGAGATGCTCTACAACAAGTCCGAGTACATCGAGACGGTGCGCGGGGGGGGGGGGGGGGGGGGTGGGGGGGGGGGGGGGGGGGGGGGGGGGGCGGGGGGGGGGGGGGGGGGGGTGGGGGGGGGGCGAGCCCTGGGGCCGGGGGGGGAG